AAAAAAAAAAAAAAAAAAAAAAAAAAAAAAAAAAAAAAAAAAAAAAAAAAAAAAAAAAAAAAAAATTTTTCTTCTTCACCAAATACCCGGAGGATCGTGTACGACGAAAGGGGAAAAGACTGAAACAACGACAGCAGGGACTACCTCCACCGTTTCGATAGTCGGAAGAAAATGGCAGATCAGAAGGCAGTCACAACAAAAAGGGTCAAAGAAACTACTTCGGAAACGCGAAAATCTAAGTCAAGAAAGGAGACTTCTGCAAAAGGAAAGACTAACAAGGTGGCGGAGAGAAAAGGGACGGATGCGAAGGGGACCGGCGTGATGCCGAGCGACGTGGAGTTGATAACGGATTGGAAGAAGGAAATAGCTTCATTCTTCCGAGAAATGAGAGATGAAGGACGAGCTATAGCTGAGGAAATGAGGGTGAAGAGTCGAGAAAGGATAGGGGAATGCCTGAGGAATCAGAGCGAATCGGTAGCAGAGCAAATATTCCGATCGAAAATGGCCGCGACTGAAGATGGGGCTGATATGAGGACTTTTCTTAGTCTGACGGAGCAAGAGTTTCGAGAAATGAAGATTTCAGAGGATCAATGGGGATTACTGGTGAGGGAGTATTTAACCGGACGGGCAGTCAAGCAGTGGGACTATGTATATAGATCAGGGATAGACATGACAAATTGGTCTCTAGTGGGTGAAAGGCTCTGTGAGAGATTCCGCGTATTACCACGGGATAGCATGATATTTAAGATGAAGGAAAACGTATGGAAGGGAGACTACAATGAGTATACAAATGCGTTTACGGATATAGTGATTACAGGAGAAGAGTTGCCAGAAGAGGAATTGGTTATGTTTTATCTTGCGGGATTACCCGAGGACATTGGAGATAAGTTGACGGAACATGGGAAGAGGGAATTTCCTACTTGGCATGAAGCAGCAAAGGCATTAAGAGATTACATAGTTCCGATGAATGCTTGGCGGTCAAAGAGAAAACGCACGGTACGAGAAATGCAGGGTGTGGAAGGGCCACAGGCCACGGCAGACGGCAGCCCTAAGGTGGACGGAGATAGAAATAATAGCAAAACGGAAGACTCAAATAGTGTATCGCGAAGGTTTACCCCATCGGTCAGAGTAGCTACAGAAGGGGAACGAGACGTAATTCGTTGTTACGAGTGTACAGGAAGGGGACACATGGGAAGGGACTGCCCTCTGCGAAATGGAGTAATGAGAAGGAGAGGAGAAACTTGCTCTAAGTGCGGAGGGAAGGACCATTATGCAAGAGAATGTGCAACAGTACGACGAATATTGGTTGGAAGTCAGAGAGTAAATATGGGGACGAGCACTGAGTTGAAAGAGGGAACAAATCGATTAAACGAGAAGGCCTAGGCATTGAAGGAGACAAGTGTTCTAGGCCGGAACATAGTATTGGCAGAGTGGGCCAGGTCGTTACGAGCCCCAGTGCCATTGAGATCTCCAACCCGGTACAACGATGTGGTCGAGCAAGAGTAGATAACGGATTAAACGGGAACGAACCAATAACGCGAATTGGGAGGCGGGTATTGTTGTTGAACGGGAACAGAGAACAACAAGGCGAGAACAGGAGCGGAACGGATGAGTGTGAATTTTGGAGGAAGAGGGAGGTAGTAGAGACGGTAAAGGGAGAAGATATAATTATACCGCCTTGGTTGTGGAAGGAAGATGGATCAGCGGACAATCACGGGACATTATGTAGAGTTTGTAGTGGCGGTAGAACAGCAGTGTTACCGTTGGAGATAACAGGGTATCGATGCGAAGGTTTATTGGATACCGGGGCATCAAGGAGTTTTATTCAACCGTCTGTGGTAGAAAGATTAGGGCTAAGAACGAGAGCCTTGACAGAGGAGTATTCCTTTACTGTTGCTAACGGAGAAATCATTAAAATACACAGTGAGGTGCCGCGATTGGCAATATTATGTGGAGGCGAATGTTTTACGGGAAATTTCCTAATAGGACAGGTGCCATACGCTGTGATCCTAGGGATTGATTGGCTTGATAGGTACAAGGTAGCGTGGTTTTTTGGAGCGGATAAACTTAGAACGTATGTAAATGGAAGAATGTGTAATTTACCCGTGTTACGAGGAGAGGGAGAAAGGCCAATGGAATCTACGAGAAAAGGAGAGTCGGATAAAACAGATGCGGACCTGGCATATGAGGAGTTAGCCAAACAAGTATCTAAGATGTCAGCGGAAGAGGCAGCAGTATTTTTACGTGCACCGAGCAAGAGATACAAAGTGAAACATAGGAAGTCAGGAAGGATAAAAATAAAGGAAGTAATAGATCAGGCTAGGAAAAATGCTAAGGAATTGAAGGGCGCGATACAGGGCTTAAACTGTATTGCCGAATTGCCTGAAACTGAGATCGATCTAAACAGGCAAGGGTCGATTGCGAAACAGGGATATATAATATGTGCAATACTGCGACGGACAGCGAATACAAGGGAGTGGAAACGAACTGCAAATAGACAGGGAAAACAAGAAGTTTATGAGGACAAGGAAGAATCACCTTGGCCCAATGCCTTTCTGGAATTTACCGAGTTTGACAAGTGGATTGAAGGTGCTGAGGCCCGAAGTTTACCGTTGCAAGTGGTTCAGCTGTTGAAGCGGTATCGGTCTTTATTTCCTGATGGCCTTCCGGATGGGTTGCCTCCCAAAAGGCCCTTTGATCACCGAATTTTACTTATCCCCGGGAAACTACCGACAAGAGCGCCCATATATAAATATATAAGCCACCAGACCATCTGATACATCACTCTAAGGAGATAGAACGGCTCTGTGCAAAGGGATGGATAGGCCCGACTTACTCCCCTATCTGCGCACCGACAATTATGGTGGGAAAAGAGATGGTGGCTCAGGGGAACGGAAAATGCGTATGGTGATAAATTATCAGGCGTTGAATGCACTAACTATTGCGACTGAGTTTCCTATGCCATGTGTGCAAACTGTAATAGAGATGATAGGAGGGGCGTCGTATTTCTCAACTTTAGATCTAGAGGCAGGGTTTCACCAAATAAGAATGGCTAAGGAGGATAGATGGAAGACTGCATTCAGATCAATACAAGGATTGTTTGAATATAAGGTCATGCCCTTCGGTCTAAAAGGGGCACCAGCAACTTTCCAAGCTGATATCAATGCGTATCTGCAACCCTTGCTAGGTCATGGGGTGATTGCGTATATCGATGATGTACTAATCTACAGCAAAACTTTGGAAACGCACCTTCAGGTGTTACAACAGGTCTTTGAAATATTCCTTAAAAACCAGTTTTATCCGAAGTTGATTAAATGTAAATTTGCACAACGGGAGTTAACCTATTTAGGTTATACGATAAGTATCGAGGGAATTAAACCTGCAGCAGCGAAAGTGGAAGCAATCAGTCTTTGGCCAGAAGACCTTACTAACGAGACGCAGGTGCGTCAATTTCTGGGCACGGTTAATTATTGTAGGATTTTTATGGGGCCGAGATATGCAGATCTCGCACGACCCTTAGTGGAACTTACGCGTAAAAACGTGCCCTTTGTTTGGACGGAAGAACATCGAAATGCGGTACGACAATTAAAGCAGCGTCTTGCAGAATTTGCGATCTTACAAGTGCCGGATTCCACTAAACCCTTTACACTTTATACAGACGCATCGGGTTATGCTATTGGCGCAGTACTTGAACAAGAGGAAAAACCTGTTGGATTTCTTAGTCAGGTAATGACTCCGGCTCAGCAGAAATATTCTATATACGATCAGGAATTGTTGGCTCTTATATCGGCATTAGATAAATGGCGGCATCTACTTAGGGTCGCTAAGGTTACGGTTTATACGGATCACCAAGCGCTTACCTTCCTTCAACGCATTAATTCTCAGAAGCCACTGCGGGGTCGAACTGCGCGATGGTTAGATTTTCTGGCGGAGTTCTCGAATCTCACGATTACCTACTTACAAGGGGCAAGAAATAAGGTGGCGGACGCGATGTCTAGGCATCCTCTGCATGTTAATGACGAATCGACAAGACCTGCTAAGCTTTTAGCTTCTCTCGTTCAACAGTCAGCAGGAGTGGGTGTGTCTCCTAGATATTCTACGCGGTTAGCAACTGGGTCGACGCCTCTAACCGATTTCCGGGCGATGATGGGACGGAGGTCGGCTTCAAGCAGTCAACGGAGAGTTAGAATTGAGTCACAACCTTCGTTGAGGTTGTCGGCAGAAAGTGTAGACGGTTCCATGCAAGCTGCATCCAGTTCGCAACATTTAACAGACGACACTTTAACTTCGGCAGTTCCGTCATCCGATGATCAGCAAGCCTCAGTCACGAGTGCAGAGATACGAGCTGATGCACCTTCGGCACCTGAACATTTGTCAGCACAACGTTGGAGGGAAGCTTACGAACGTTGCACACAGTTCAGAGATATTGTGGCTGAAGCAACGTGTAAAGGGCAAGAAGAGTTCGTGCATCAGTTGCAGGGTCGTCGTTATGCATTCAAGTTTAGTCATCCTTATTTATATGTGTGTATTAATGGCTTGTGGCGAATCTGTCCACCGACTTTACCAGAGTTTCTCTCGTATATACTATACTGCCATCATGACCATGTCACTGCAGGGCATCGGGGCGTGCGGAAAACCTTCCTTTCAATAAGTAAGTTATACTACTGGCCTGGCATGAAAGCATATACAGTAGCGTATGTCGAGTCGTGTGTGCAGTGCAGAGCGTCGAAAACGATTTCCCAGAAGCCGGCGGGGCTACTTCAACCTTTACTCATTCCTTCACGACGATGGAGCCATGTTAGTTTAGATTTTATTACAGATTTACCTCTCACTCCGCGGGGCCACGATTCTATTCTTGTTCTTGTCGATTCACTTAGTAAGATGGCTCACTTTATTCCAACAAAAAAGTCGGCAACAACGGCGGATGTTATAGAAATTTTGGCGGATCGCTTAATTCGGTATCATGGGTTTCCCGATGTCTTGATCTCAGATCGGGATCCGCGGTTTCAGTCTCAGTTATGGCAGCTTCTATGTCAGCGGTTTCACATAAAACGGGCGATGTCGTCTTCTTACCACCCGCAAACTGACGGGCAGACGGAGAGACTCAATCGCACGTTAGAACAGATGCTCAGAACTTACGTTCAGACCGATGAAAGAGAGTGGGAACGATTGTTGCCGGCATTGGAACTTGCTTACAACACAACCTCCCATTCTTCGACGGAGCTCAGCCCTTTTGAGGTTATGATAGGGCAAAATCCAGTGACTGCTGCAGATATTGATATTGTTGGTGACCTTGCGCCTACGCTTACACCACCAATGGCGAAGGTGTTTCAACAATTATGTGACAGGGCGCAGAGCCACATCATGCGAGCTAAGTGGCAACAGAAGTATTATGCAGATGCCAGGCGACGGGATGCTCAATATAGTCCGGGCGACCGCATTTGGATTAACAGTCGCAATCTACCAGGGTTGAATCAATGTTCCAAACTGGAGCCAAGGTTCAGAGGGCCTTTCAAAATTATGGAGCGTGTTGGTTCGGTTGCGTATCGTATCGAATTGCCTCCAACGTATTCGTGTCATAATGTTTTTCACGTTTCGCAGCTCATCCCTGATCGTCCACGAGATCCTCTAATGCAATCCAAGGAAGCAGCAGTAGGGTGGCTTCCGCTAACGGACAAAGAGGGTAACTCCACTGACATATACGAAGTTGATTATATTCTCAATCAACGCGGCTCGGGAAAGGATGTGCAGTATTTGGTAAAGTGGAGAGGTGCTCCTGAAGACCGTGCTACTTGGGAACCGGCATCTAACCTCACAAATTGTTCTGCCCTACTTAGGGCTTGGCGCCGTTATTATAATAAAGTAAGGTCCGGTCAGGAGAATTGCACGACTTAGTTGGTTGCGTGCGTCTATTCTTTCGGGTCTGTGCATTTGATAGTTCGCCGGATTTTCAAAGGGGGGGGATGGGTGGTGCAATTATGCACCACTTGTCCATGGGCAGTTCAAGTTACTTACAGGAGAAGGGGAGAGTGATAAGGCAGAATAGAGTAGGAAGGCGGATAAGTTAGAATATGTCATAAGCTGAGCAAGGGACAAATACAGGACTGAGCCGGGGTACTGGAGGTGGGTAAAAATAGAGGTATAAGAGGGATCTAGCTCTTTTGTCCAAAGGGGGAAGTTGTAGTGCGCTAGCACTACAAGCAAGTGCGGTTACTATAGAAA